CATACAGAACTGGGATACAGGCCAGAGGCTCAGGGGCGGTGAGAGGCTTCACCAGAGACAGAGTGGGGAGCAGAAAAGGCAGATCTACGAAGTACACTGCTGAGGGGAGCAGCGGGCGGGTCAGGAGAGGTCAGCCATGCCATGTGGTCACTTCCGGGGCAGGTGGGAATGGAACTCATGCGGAAGCGGCTTTAGATTCTCAGTGCTGTACTTTAACCTGCTGCGCCACCAGGGAGGGCCTCTGATGACTTTTTTAAAAAAGATTTATATATTTATGCATACAGAATTGGGATACCAGCCAGAGGTACAGGGGCTGTGAGAGGATTCACCAGAGACACAGTGGGGAGCAAAACAGGCTGACTGACAGAGGACACTGCTGAGGGGAGCAGCGGGCGGGACAGGGGAGGCCTGTCGCGTGTTGTGGCTCATCTCCAGGGCCAGCTGCATGTTGTGGATCACCTCTGGGGCCAGGGATCAAACTTGCACTGAAGCAGCTCCAGTTAGCTAGCTGTGCGGAGTCCTAACAGTTTGCGCCACCAGGGAGGGCCAGAGAACACATTTGAACAAGCCCAACTTCTCTTAAGCTAGCCTCTACTCACTCTCTTCTCGCAGTAATGGCAGTCATACCCATTTATATTACACATGAAATCATCTTAATGTAATTGTTAGGTAAAAAAATCACTTCAGGCCCTCCCTGGCAGCGCAAAGGGTTAGGACTCAGCACCACAAGCCAGCAGCAGCAGCTTCAGTGAGAGTTCCATCCCTGCCCCCTGAAGGTGATCCACATGGGGGGCAGAACTCTCCTGAAAGCCCACTGCTCCCCTCTGTGGCGGTGTGCATTGTGGATCTGCCACTTCTGCTCCCCACTTAGTCTCTGGTGAATCCGCTGAACCACCCATGTACCTCTGGCTTGTACACCAGTTCTGTATGCATAAGTAACTAAATCTTTTAAAATAAAAATAAAATAAGGCCCTCCCTGGTGGCGCAGCGGGTTAAAGCACAGCACTAAGAAGCTAAAGCCACTTCCGCATGAGTTCTATTCCCGCCTGCCCTGGAGGTGACCACATGGCATGGCAGACCTCTCCTGACCCGCCCGCTGCTCCCCTCAGCAGTGTACTTCGTCAATCTGCCTGTTCTGCTCCCCACTCTCTCTGGTGAATCCTCTCACTGCCCGTGTACCTCTGGCTTGTACACCAGTTCTGTATGCATAAGTAACTAAATCTTTTAAAATAAAAATAAAATAAGGCCCTCCCTGGTGGCGCAGCGGGTTAAAGCACAGCACTAAGAAGCTAAAGCCACTTCCGCATGAGTTCTATTCCCGCCTGCCCTGGAGGTGACCACATGGCATGGCAGACCTCTCCTGACCCGCCCGCTGCTCCCCTCAGCAGTGTACTTCGTCGATCTGCCTGTTCTGCTCCCCACTCTGTCTCTGGTGAAGCCTCTCACCGCCCCTGAGCCTCTGGCCTGTACCCCAGTTCTATATGTACAAATAAATAAATCTTTAAAAAATAATAATAATAAAATAAAATAAAATAAAGAATAAAAATCTCTTCAATTGCTTTCTCTAAGAATACTGGTACATCCAGTGAAATACCAACTTCACTCTCCTAGCCTTTCAAACCAGCCACCTTTCTCCTGACCTACGTACAAATAAAACTAAATAAACTAAGAGGAACAAGAAGAAACAAGACCGAGAACATTTTTCTTTGTTCTTTTGTACTTTTGATCTACAAAAATCTTCCTGGAAAATGATCAGTACCATACAATATAGTAATCCATTCGTAAAACCCCAAGAAACTGTTTTGTTTTTGTTTTAGAGGGTATGAGTATTATATACCTATACTTACTGAAATAGGTGAGTTATTTCAACTTCACAATTCTGGGTTGGTAGGCTGGGAGCCTTTATTTTAGTGACCATGGGATATATTCCAGGGAATCAAGAATAGTATAGTGAATGCCAATTAATTAATATATTTTACCATATCAGCAAAAAAAAAGATGAAAGTCATATGATCATATCAATAAGTGCAGAGAGAGTATTTGACAAGATCCAATGGCCATTCATTAAAAAAAAAATTCTCAGTAAAATTGGGGTGGAAGATACATACTTCAACATCATAAAAGCCATGTATGACAGCTAGCATATTCAATAGTGAAAAATGGAAGATTTTCTTTTAAAGTCAGGTATTAGACAAAGATGTCCATTTCATCAACACTATTCAACATAGTCAATGTTCATAGAAGTCAATGAACTAAAAGGGAAAGAAATCAAGAAAACAATACCATTTATGATTACATCAAAAAGAACTAAGTACCTAGGAACAAACTTAACAAAGGAGATAAAAGACCTGTACAACAAAAATTATTGTTAAAAGAAATAGAAGACATGAAGAAGCAGAAGTATATTTCTTGCTTGTGGGTTAGAAGAATTAACATTATTAAAATAGCCATCTTACCCAAAATAATATATAGATTTACTGTAGAGTAGATTGATTATTTGGGACTATATGTTGACTTCAAGATTTAATTAGGTTTAGGGCTGATTAGGCTTGTGGAAAGGAAAACCACACAGTATTGATGGTAATTTATTTGAAGTTAATTAAATC